AAGATTAGGGCATGGCAAAGTGGCTGGACAAGTGGTGTGACTTGTTCAGTACGTGTGCAGAACAGTTTCTGAGCCCTGCACCTGGTACCAATCAAACAATGCTATCTTCAATTCTTCTGGCACAAGATCAAGCAGGTTTTTGATAGGATGGCCTGGATCTGATGTCAGAATGGGGGTACACATGTCAATGGCCAGTGGCCTTATGGCCACTACCTTCTTTTTTTTCTTGTTCAGTGTCCTGCTCTGCACACAGAGTGTATTTGCTTTCCTACTTTAATTCCCCATACTCTACAGAGCACTTCTTTTTAGAGCAGTTCTCTCTTCTTTTCTTGCCTTCAATACCTTTAATAAATGTAAAACTCCTCTACTTCATTTCCTTTCCAATTCTTTGTTCAGGACAATAAGTCTAGAAGGGACCCCTGGAAAGAGAATAGTATCCCAGTACCCTGCTAACACTGTCAATTTCCCTCCCCCAACTAGTGAAATGAATGAATTTGACTAAAGATGTCTTGCTTTTGTGTTTTTCTCAGTGGGGAGTATTCTTCTTAAACTGGTTTCTTTTTTTTCATACTACAGGCCCAAAGCAGAGTCAGGAGCAGATGTGTAAACCTCTGCCGACCAGCTATGTCTAAATTTTAGTCCAATGGGGAACATCTTAAAACCTGAGGTTAAAGCTTTTAAAATCAACTAACACCAAAAAGCATGGGGGGTGGGAGGCTCCAGGAAATTCAAACTCAGATTAATTGACCAAGTGATCTCCTACGATGTTAATATTTTTCATCTTGCTACAACTAGGATTTCTGCATTCAGACATGCAAATTTAGGATCAAGTGTTGCTTAGGACTATAAAAATGAGAATGGTGCCTAGAGTGTAACCTTGTCAAAAGCTGGAAAATGGTAAAGCTATGTCTTTGTTTTATGTGTGTATTATTTGTCTGTCTGTGTGCTTGTGTTTCTATATCATTGAGATGGTAACAGATTCATTTAAAAATAAGAGCACACAGGAATCAAGAAAGCAGAAATCAAAATGCATTTTGGTCCATACGAGTGAAACAAATATTTAAAAGACAAAACAAGAGTATCTTCAGAACTGTTAACATACATTTTATCCCTGTTGGGTGAATCAGAATTATATTTTACTCCGAGGGTATTTTCAGGTTCACAAAACTTACAAGAAAGACTGAGAATCATAAAGGAAATCAATGAACATTTTGAGCTCATTGTGACCTTAAAGACTTGTTGGAATTGAATTTGACAGAACACTGAGAAAGTACAACAAATAGGGATAATGACAGAATCTTTATGTTTAAAACTTGCAATAAAACTTTAAAGAGAGAAGCTTTACTTTTGTCAAAACAATGTGTTGTTTTCTACTGTCTTTTGTTACGTTTTAAACGTTTAAGAAATTAAGTCTTTGGAAGTTCATAAGTTCATATTTATTTAGATCTCTGAAGTTTTGTTTTACAATTCTGTTTACATAAATTATTATATGTGATTTGCCTCATGTTTTTGTAAAATAATTGTCCTGCTGTTACCGTGAGTGATGGGATTCCTAGGTTATGTGCCCCGAATAAAGAATTAGACATGGCATGCAATGGTAAGGAAAAAGGAGCATAGTTTTAATCAGGTGACAGGATGCTTAGAGTGAGCAGGCTCGTGTCAGGGAAAGAAAAATAGCACAAACGCTGAATGTGTTGAGTTTAAGAATTTAAAATGTTGCACTAGGTCTCGGGCATCTCTCATTGGGTCTTACAGAGCATGATTGACGACACTGACCAAGCACTGAGTTGTGTCAGCTGAGTCTCCCTCGTATGTCCTTTCTCATAATTCACTATTACAATTGGATGGATGAGATGCAGTCTATATGAATGAACCTTCAATGAGCTCGAAGCGAATAAAAGTTATTGCAGGTTGTTCAGGAGGATCTGACCCTAATGCATCCTGGTTTGGCATTTCAGAATTTTCTAGGATGGGTTCAGGGGTCTTTTTTTTTTTTTTCTTATCTCTGCCCCTGGGTAGTAGACTTTAGGACAAAGGTGGGAGTATTGCCCTGGGGCATTGTCCAGGTTCGAGGAGTGGTCCTGTAGCCCCAATCTGAATTACTGGAATAATGTAGTCAGTCATGACTGTCTTCTTAATATACTGTAAAAGTAACTAAGTTAGTTTGCTAAATTATTGTATTTCTTATGGTCATATAACTGACAAAAGCCACATTCCTACTGGTTGATAAGAGACAGTCTTACTGGGAAATGTGTGTGTTAGGGTTATCCAAGGCATGATCAAGACCACTAGAGGAGGCCAAAATGAAGCAACAAGCAAGGTTTTATTTTCAGCCTGGGTGCAGGCTAGTCAAGGGCAACAAAGCTGTTGAACCTGTGGGCTCAGGCAAGGGAAAACTTTATAGGGGAGTTTGGGTAGGGGAGGGATAGTGCCAGGAGGAGTGGACGTTTTTGTCCTGGAGTGGAGGAAGTCTTTTGTTCTGGGGGAGGAAGTCTGGTGGTCTCCTGGGGTGCTTGGACCCACAGGTGTTGCACGGGGTGGGCTGTTTATCTTGAACCCTGGCCTTGGCTTCCTGTTAATCCTTTGCACCTTGCAGGATGTAACTGCATTGCCTGGGAATTTTTTTTTCTTCTGCCTAGGCAGGGGTCTGACAGTATGTTAGTCGGCAAAATAGACATTAGCTCTTGCACACTGTATTCAGTTTTTGCAACTCTGTATGTGTATACCTAAGAAATCTTAAAGGTGTTACCTAGTTGTAATTCTTGGTCTTGACATTAATAAAGGTGTTTTCTTCTAATTGGTAATTCACATTGGTTTACAAGAAAAAGAGACTTTAAGTACGTGCTCAATATACTTTCTGATAAAACTAACCTTGTCTCCCAGAAATACTGTACTGGTTTTCTTTAACTTGGTCACTACATTTCTAAGTTCAAGTCTACTGTACAGACTGGATTCTCTTTGCTCCTATTAGCTTGTTTTCCATGTGCTTATGAGCTTTGTGACTAGTATTTGTCAAAGTTATAATGTTCTAGGATACTGACTACAAAATAAGATTAGACTTGACAATGGACTTTAGATAAACCCAGCCAAAGAGCCAATCTTCTGATGTTGCTCAAATTTGGCAAGAAGTATTTGATGACGTGGACTGATTGACTAAAGCAGAAAGTCCTTCCAGCAGGTGTAACTATTAGGTGTCTCCTGACTTTGGCTTTCTTTTGTATTTGACCTCACAATTTTTAGTGATACCTTTTCAGCCTCAAGCATCCAGCATCCCTTTGCTTGTGCTCTAGCTACCTTAAGCTAGCCAGCCAGATGATGTGTTACCTCGAGGCCATCTAGATTGAGGGAGGGACTAAAGCAAGGGGGGAGTTGTAACCTGCACTGCACAAAATAGAACTTTAAAAGTTAGATTTTTTTCCTCTTTAGAGACAAGCGGCTTCTCCAAACTTCCTCAGGCCTAGGGTACAAGCCACCTCCACCCCTCCTGAGACCAGAGAAAAGGAAAGAATATGCAGATGCTAGTACCAGAAGGTCTAGTCCAATTTCATTTCCTTAGGCAAGGCAGAGAAGGGTTTGGGTCCAGGAAGGGATGAAACAAGTCTGAACATATGTATTGTCTCATTGTATTCCCAACTATCACTGTTCCTTGCTATAAAAGACCCTAACATATTATGTAATAGCTTTGTCCATGGTGAGGTGGTGATTTGAAGCAAATGAGCCCATTTCCCTGGAGTCAGATTTGACTAAATCATTTTTGTTCTTTCCAAAAACAAATGGCCTCCTTTGATATGATCAGCAGCAAGCAAAGGAACCCGAGTGACTGAACCTAGGTGGCCTGTGACAGTGGCATCTGTGTTCATGACCTTTGTGTATTTTCAGAAGAGAAAGTAGAGCTCAAAACTACATGAAGCAAAGCACCCCGATGTAAGGACTGGAAAGCCAGGGCAGCCCAAGGGTGGAGGGGTATTTCTGGGGTACAGGGACATGCATCGGTAGTGAAACGGACAGATTCTGATGACTTCTTTCTGTGTGCAGTTCAGATGAAGAATCTCGCATGTGTCAGCCCCAGTCTCCATCTGAATTGTTTAGTCTCCCTCAACCACAATATGTACTAAACACCTTGTGTTCTACTTCAGTCCATGCTGGAACACTGCCATCAGGTTCTAGAAAGTTCTACATCTGGAACGGTGGTGCTTTCACCAAGTCCTTTCTGATCTTCCCAGTCTGACTGAATGCTCTGAATCCCTCATTACTTCATCTTTCCCTTTTCTACTTGGCCTTATCCTTGAGGGCCAGTGGAGGTCACAGGAAGTGAAACACCTCTGAGATGGGACTGGCTTCTACCTCTCCTTCACATCCCTCTTCCTTTCAGGACCTTGCACTTGCGAGGCAGGCACGGTGCCACTAAGTTAAATCCCTAGCCCTGATGTTTTTTTTTTCTCCTCAGACAGGTCTGGCTGTCTTTTTTTTTATTTCACAGTGATTTTAGGACATTATGTTGCCACTCTTGGCATTATCCATACTTTAAAGCTTAATGTCACAGGGAGAACATAATAATACATTTATTTGGTTCCCACTAGAGTAATTAAAAGTATCTGAGAACAGGTGGACCTTCTATGGGGTCAGGAATCCTTCTGGGTGCTTCTGAAACATAGACCAACTACTGGTCTATGCTTAAGTAAATGAATAGTGAACATTACTCCTTCAACATGCAATCTTTTAATTTTAAAGGAAACACCTAGTATTATCAACCTGGTTGCCTTATGTGGTACAGCTGTTGTGTCTTGGGGAAGGAAGATTGCTAGAAGTCCTTCATGAAGGAAAACCTTCAAAATGGAGACAAGCTGAGTTCGATGAACTTCTAGCTTTTCTTTAATGTTGTAAACCGGGCTATAATCGTGAAGTAGGACACATTTGCAGGTACTGCAACACATGACTCCATCAAAATACTTTACCCCTTTGGGGTAATGGTAATGAAAACTATAAAAGAAAGTAGTCAGTATGCTTTTATTGAGATGTTTTAGTACAGCACTGGATGATCTTAAAATCCTACATTCTAAACCAATACAAGCACTTAAAATGATAAACAGTATTGCTGAATCCAGTCAACATCATATCTAACACAGGAAAGTTATCATCATAGAACCATCTACAGGTTGACTAATATAATTTAAGTTGGAGGCTAAGCAACTTTGGTATGTTCATGTTTCTCTGGCTCCCCCTTTTCACTAGATATATCCCAAGTACACCCTCCTTTCAGTGTAGTTGGACAGGACGATATAGTGGTCTCGCTCAAGTTTCCACACCACGAACAGCAAGGAATGAGAAAGATTAAGATTTGCTTGGCCATCTTCATCATCACCATTGAACGGAACGCATCAAGTAGTTAAAGTCTGCATTTCTACCGTGCAAGGCTGAGCACGGGGATTAGTTCCTAAATGTATTCAGCTACACTTTAAAATACAAAAGTTGAGCTAAGTAATAATAGAAACCATCAGTTAATTCAGAGCACAGTAAAGTAGTTTTTAAAAATCAGATTAGATTTTAAAATTAGCCCTGTAAACTTTCAATATGTTGAGAAAATGATTACTTTTAAATCAATTGGCCTTAGTCGTAGTGCACCTATACTCACACGTGTGAGTCAAGCCATCTACATATGGATTTACAACTAAGTCTTCATTACATACAAGCATAGAAATTCTGAGAAATAAAATTGTTACATGTTTACTAGAGGCAGCGAGGCACTTCAATTAGGAGGACAAAGTTCTAAAAGGCCATCTTATGGATGAAGACAATCCTAGGTGAAGTTCCCCTTCAGGATCACTTTGAGCCATTAATGAATCAACTTTTTGTTTATTTTTTCACAGGACTTTCCTACTCACATTTTCCATGTAATAGCTTTAATTTAGATAAGCAGTTGCCGGAAACCTACAACTTTCCATTACAAAAGCTAAAAGAACACTGAATCAAAGTTCACAAAATAATGCTTCAATATGCATTTGGTGGCACTCAAAATTTCACCTTTTCTGTAAAAAGAGCAAAATGATGATTAGTAAATTTGAAGGGATTTGGAGAAGTCTTTATTTTGTTGGAAGTCCACAACATGAAGTCGTTGGAAACCATTGAAAGTTAAAGCTATAGCTAAAAATAGGTTGGGAAGAACAAGGTGACAGGGCCAGAGGAATGCGCCAGAATGACAGTGAGTTTAGAGACTACATCTCAATGTGGTTTCTAAGTCAGAGAATTGATGAACATAATTTTGGAGTTTGGGAAAATGGCATTTCAAGTAAGTAATAGTTATGTCTTCCCTAAAATAAACATGTCAATGGCCATTTAAAGCTAAGGAAAATTTGGTTCAGATGAATCACAAGTACAGTAGTTTAATTGAAACCCAGATGCCATTAAGAAAAAGAAGAAAAAAGAAAAATTCAAAATTCACTGTGTCATAATTTTTCTAAGATTCACTCCAAAGTAAAGGGTTATATGGGGTTCTTACCCAAATGTCCATAGGAATTATGGTTATATTCACACAGAAGGCTTAATCTGAAGTTACTTTGGCAACCTCGAAATATATAAAATATGAGTTTCAAGAATGGGATTTTATATTAGAATGCTGTTGCTAAAAGAATAATGCAAGATCACCAACCAGAAAAAGTCAAGATGATAAGAACATTTCTCATTTAACACAGTTCACTAAAAACCCAATAACCACCACCATCCCCCAATAAACTGGAAGCATTCTTGAGGTTTAGAAGGGGAAACAATGAATCTCAGAGTGAACAAATACCTGATGCTTTTGCCAGCGATTATCTTATCATTGCTGAGTCCTACCGCTAAAAAAGCAGAGATACCAGCAAGTGGGAAGTCACTTGTCACTTCCCATTCATGTTTACAGTGGGACATGGCTGAACAGGTACGACACGGATTCCCCATTGTGTGTTCTCCGGATGGCCTCAGCCAGGATCATCGAGATGTCAATCACCTGAATGTAAACAAGAAAACAGAAAGGGAGGAGTTAGTCATGTTTCTTTAAAAACTGCTTCTTTTGGGAAGATAGATAGCTTAAGGGTCTGTTTTCAAATTACAGCCTGCTGAACCAAACCCAGATGGGCTCCCAGAAAGGAGATTCACAGCACGGCGACTCAAAGGCTTTTCAGGGCTGCTGTTAACCAGAAGACACCCTTTTCTTGGGATATTAGTTGTTTTTTTTTCTTTTTTATTGAGTTTATTGGTTCATTTTAAGTATGCAGTACAGTTACATTCATCATTGGGATCTTGTACCTTTACATGACAGGTCTTGGTTCTCATTTTTTCCCCATTCCCTGCCCTCCCTTCACCCCCTCCTCCCTTCCCTATTTACAAAGACTTTGTTTCCAGCTTTTCCCTTTTTACCTTTCCCCTACCCTTCCCATTTCCCCTACACCTTTAGCCCTTTTCTTCCTATTTCACATTATCTATTACACATTTTGATCCTTATTTACACTTTTGGTTTCTCACACCAGAGAAACTATTCTGTATTTATACGTGTGTCTTATTTATTTCACGTAAGAGTATGGCCTCAATGTGCATCCATTTTCCCATGAATGACTCCAGTTTCTCATTCTTTAACATTAGTTGCTTTTAAAGTAATGTTAATCATTATTGGAAGGGTTTTTCTGTCTGGGTTTCAGAGAAAGCAGTGACTGGATCATTTCAGAGCACAACTGTGATGGTCTAACTCTGAGGTCAGCAAACTACTATTCTGTAAAGGACTTGGACTATTTTTGACTTTGACGTTTCTGTTACAAATACTCAACTCCATTGCTGTAGCACAAAAGCAGCTATACAGGCAACACACTAATGTCTGGGTGTGGCTGGGCGCCGGTAAAACCTTATTTACAAAAAAAAAAATCGTGGGCTGCATTTGGCCTGGGCCAGTGTTCACTGAGCTCCCAATTGCTAATCATGCATGAAGATATGACAGACCATCATTTTGATCATTTCCAAACTTACCTCTTTCTGCCAAAGGACCTCTTTCTCTCTGAAGACTAGAAACCAAGAAGTGGATCACTGTGACTCACCTTCATGCTCCACTGATGGGAACCAAGGCTTTGAAGGCTGAAATGACTGCCAAGGTTCACTAAAACATAGAGCCCAAATGGAGATGCAAACCTTTTTGACTGGCTTCAGCCCAGCTGGTGGCAAGTGATTGCCACCAGCTCTGTGGTGCCCTGAGGCATCCAGTCAGGAGGGCTGTGAAGGAGTAGAGCTCTGAAGATCTTAACATAGTCCACTGCTTTGTATCACCCCCTTGTTTCTAAAACTGTGTTAATATGTGTGTGTGTGTGTGTGTGTGTGTAAAATTGGCCATTTTAACCATCTTAAGTATATAATTCAGTGGCATTAATTACACTTCCAATGTTGCATACACATCACCATTATCTATTTTCAAAATGTCATCACCACCAGTAAAATTGTACCCATTAAATGCTAACTCCCTATTCGTCCCTCCTCCAGCTCCTAGTAATCACTATTTTACTTTCCGTCTCTATAAATGTTTCTGTTCTACGTACTTCGCATAGGTTGAAACGTAACATTATTCCTCCTTTTGTGCCTAGCTTATTTCACTTAGTCTGCATAATATTCTATTGCAGTGATGGGCCACTTTTTGGTTATCTATGTGATGGACACTGGATGTTTCTGCCTTTTGGCTACTGAGAACAGTGCTGCTATGATCATTTATATGCAAGTTTTAGTTTGAAAATGTTTCCAAATTTTGAGGGTACAGGCCTAGTGGTGGAATGGTTGGGTTATATGCTAATTCTTTTGAACTTGAGCACAGCCTGATTTGTGTCATTTTTCTTTTGTGGTTTTATTCATTTACTCTTTCTCAGTAGCACACATTGATTTCTGCTGGCTTGGCCTTTCTCCGGATCTAGTGTCCCTGAGATCCTGTGGGGAGCAGAAGCTGCAGTGTCTGTTGCCTGCGGAAAGCTGGCTGCTGTTTTGAGGGATATAAAGCAGGTTCCTAGCTGCTTGCCTCTGCCTGTGGTGTAGATCGTACCTGAATCTTGGTGCAGTGCTTCATTTTGTCCTCTTGAGGAATTGTGTTTGTCACAACAACAGCCTCAAAGGCAGCATTATTTATTCTGGAAATAGCTGGCCCAGAGAAGATCCCATGGGTAAGGATAGCATAAACTCTGGTGGCTCCAGCTGAGAGCAGCCTATAAAATAGAAGACACAAAATTAAGTATATGCTAATATTCTTGAAAGACTTTCTCCTAATGCCAAAGTTAATAGCAAATAGTGAGTTCCAAAAATGAAAAGAGGAGACAAATTCCCCACATATTTATTAGCCAGGACCAGGTAATGATAGCAAAACACAGTATTCCATTACATCAGGGATTATCAACATTAGCATTTGGCCTGGATAATTTTTGGTCATGGATGCTGTCCAGTGTATTACAAGATAATTTAGCAGCATCTTGGCTTCCACCAAGTAGCAATGTTTCCCTCCCCTTAGATGTAGCAACCAGAGATGTCTCTAGGCATTACCAAAAGTCACCCAGGAAGAAAAATGGCACCGGCTGAGAACCACTGCTTGAAAGTAAACGAGCCAAAATATACCATTTTGATGTGTAATTCATCTAAAACTTTATTGGTGACATAGTTCAGTGCATCTCAACTTGGACTGGCCGCATTCCCAGTGTGCCACTGCCTGAAAAACTCTTTCCTTCTGTGCATAGTTTCCAGGAAATCACCGTCTCTTTCCCCTTTTAAAAGATACCAAAATTTCCACATGGAAAATCAAAAGGCCCATGGTTTCATTTCTACCAGGGAAAGAACAATAAAAACAAAGGGTCCTCAAATTTCCTTTGGTCTAATAGCACACTGCCAAACGATCAGTTATAATTAGGAAAACTAGGCCCAGTTTCTAAAACACTGATTTTTTTTTTCTTTCTTGAGGAGATGGCTTCATGCTTTCCTGAACTGTCCCACTTACTTATCGGCAGCGAAGCAGATGGTGCCACACGTGTCGGCCATGTCATCCACGAGGATGGCCACGCGGCCCTTCACGTCACCCACCAGCACCATCCGGTCCACTTCATTTGCCTTCTTCCTCTCTTTGTGAATCAAAGCAAACTCCACATTCAGCCTGTCTGCAATGGATGTGACCCTGCATGAAGATAGAGTGGACACATTAACACAGTCCACTTAAGAGTCTCTTCTTCAAAAGATAGATTTGGGTCATTTGTAGGAAAATGGATACACCTTGAGACCATAATGTGTATGGTTTCTCTTATGTGAGAAACCCGCAGCACAAATAACTAATGAACAAAATAAAAGATGGATAACAGGAAACAGAGAGATAGATCTTTTGCAAAGAGGAAGGGGACCAAAATATAGAGGGAGAGAAGGGGATTAAAAAAAGAGTTAAGATGTGTTATGTATATGCACCAACTCCCCAGGAGGAATGGAGTCATTAGGCACCACAAACATGAACTCATAAAAGTAAATGGGGCACACGTCGAAATACCGAATAGTTTCTCTAGTGTGATAAATTGGAAGTGTAAGTAAGGACCAACAGATATAATAGATAGATAATATGAAATAGGAAGAAAATGGGCAAAGGGGAAGGGGAACTGGGAAGGGAGGGTCAAGGAAAGAAGGAAATTGAATTAATATGAGAAAATGAAAAAATGGAGACAAAGTCTTTATAAACAGGGAGGGGTGGAGGGGGTGAGGGGAGGGCAGGGGAATGGGGAAAATTAAGAACCAAGATACATCATGTAAAGGTACATGATCCCAATGATGGATATCATTATATTGTATACCTAAAATATACCAATAAAATTAATTTTTAAAGAGAATAAAGATAGAAATTTTTTTAAAAATTAAAGTTAAAAAATAGTTTGAAAATCTTTTTCGAGGAACACAGCCAACGATCACACTTAATGAACAAAATCAGTGTCGCTTTTTAAGTCAGACAGGATCTGGAGAACGACGAGGCAGTCCAGGAAGAGAAATGTGCTAGTGACAGCACCTGGTGATGAACACCAGGGTACGGGGACCACTGGAGGAAACAGATATTCCTTTTGTTAGTATTTGGGAGCATATCTTTTAAATCACAGGTACAGCTTAAAACAAGTTATACAGGAAGTACCATTTGCTCTGTTTGTGGAACAAACAGTGGGAACAAAAGTCCTGGCTTTCTCAGCCATGAATGTGCAAGCTTGTGATGATGGGTTTTGTTGCACTCGAGGCCTAAGGAGACTGTAAACTGTAAGGCCAGCTACTCGGTCCATCTGAGGCACCTGCTCGAAGGTCACTGGCTCAGAGAAGAGACGGTGGGCAGACTATGGGGTTGGTGAGGATGGGGCATTTTGGATTTTACAGGAAAGAGCAGATTTAAATGATGCAGCTTATTTCAAAAGCAACGTCAGAGGCATAATGTGACATTGAGATGTTACTATCCCGGTTTGCAAAATAATAGTCACGTTGGCATTCAGGTGAAACATGTTTGCAGGATCAACATGCACACACCCCAATTCAGGAGACAGTGCATGGTGGATGTAAGCCCTAAATACCGTTTTCAAAGCAGAGGTCCTCTTCCTGTGTTGTCCTTAGAGGGCAACCAAGAAAAGAGTGCTCTGTGGGCTCAGATCCAGGACAGAACAGGTAATTCTCTGTTTTTGCCTTTCCTTTCTTTCTATTTATGTATTTGTGTGTGTGTGAGTGTGTATGGATGGCACTGGGGATTGAACTCAGGGCCTTTGCAATGAGCTACAGTCTCAGCCCATTATTAAATTCTTTATTTGGAGGTAGAGTATCACTAAATTGCTAAGTTATTCAGGCCGGGGCTCCAACTGGCAGTCCTCCTGCCTCAGCTTCCCGAGTGCTGGGATTACAGGTGTGAGCCACCACAGCCAGCCAGAGTGTGCAGTTCAGAAAGGACTCAATTTCTGGGGCTGAGAGCGAAGCACGAAGGGGACTAAATACTCCAGGCTACCCTTCCCCATTTCCGAGGACTATTGACATAGCCAACAGTTTTTACAGTTGTGGAAAAATATCTATAATATGGGATTTATTTTTTAACCATTTTAAAGGACACAACTCAGTGGCATTGAGTATATTCGCACAACTTCCCCTCTCCCCAGTTCCAGAGCATTTCACTATGCCAAAAGGAAGCCCCACACCCATGGAGCAGTCACTCCCCAGTCCTCTCTCCCCAGGTCATGACAAGTGCTCATCTTTCTATCACAACTTCAGTAACATCCCATTGCGTGGATGTACACATTTTGTTTAATCCATCCATCCCCTGATGAACACTTAGGTGGTTTCTGCCATTTGGCTCTGGTGAATTGTGCGGCTGGGAACATTGGTACACAGGAGCCCATGGCCTTTTCTACAAGTCTTTTGAGCACACACCTGTGAGTGGAGTTGTTGGGACACGCACAGCTCTACAGAGAACATTTTCAGCTAGTATTCTGACAGCTTCAAACTACTCTCTTTTCAATCGGACCAAAGAAGGCAGCAACCTCTTCCAAGCCTTAATGCTCTTTACCTTAGAGATAGTAGGGTTGTTGCTTTCTCAAGAACAAGATGTTAACATAAGGCTGAAGGGCACCACCTTTATTCCCTATAGACCCCTCTCCACTTCTAGATGGCATTTGGGCCATGCATTAGGGCACGCAGGCAGACTAGGCAGCCCGGTTATCCTTCCCGATGGGGGACAAGTGCAATGCTAGATGACCGTGTAACAAGGGGACTAGTTTAGTATATGTGCTGCCGAAGCGAGCATGAGGGGAGTAGTTTAAAACACACCGATCTGGAAAAGGAGTAGTTGCAGACGATGCAAAAATAGATTATTCTGAGAAGCTGGCAAACACCGGAGGCTTACTCAGCAACTAGCTAAGGCTTGCCCTGAGGGGTGGTAAGGAGCCCTTGCAATCTTGAGCCTCTGTTTTGCCGACAGGGACACACACAGATGTGAGCGCAAGGGCCCAGCTGAAACTCAGGATCTGTAGGAAACCCTTGTGTGACACAGGAGCGCTGGACTTCTTCCTTCAGAAGAGTGAATAGTGAATGTGCTGCCTAGGTGGGTCAGGAACCCGATGCTGAGTGTGTTCTTTCCAGAGAGCTCACAACCACATCTCGCTCTCCTCAGTGCTGCTTATCCATGTATCCATTATGTGTATGATAAAAAAATTATCAAGTGGATAGTTGACTCGAGAGTGACTACCTGAGGTATTTCTCCAAGGTAGCCAGTGTCAATAAATGCAAGTCTTCTCCAAAGGATTATAATGATGAAATTCTGAGAAAAACTGAGGGATTCACAGAAGAGTCACAGACCATCCAAGGAAGCAAGGCACCAAAACTGAGAGCCACCAGAAGCAACAGTAACCAAATCATAAGAGCAGAGGGGACTGCCATGAAGATGAAAAGGAAAGTAAAGTGATGGTCTTATGTTTCAAAGAAACAAAACTGAAGCTTGGATAAGAATAAAAGGATGCTAGGCGGGGCGTGGTGGCGCACGCCTGTAATCCCAGCACTCGAGAGGCTGAGGCAGGAGGTTCACTGTGAGTTTGAGATCAGCCTGGGCTACATAGTGAGTTCCAGGTCAGCCTCAACTACATAGTTAGACCCTGTCTCAAAAAACAAACAAACAAACAAAAAACCAAAAACCAAACAAAGAATAAAAGGATGCTAAAGAATGCCCAATCAAGACTGGAGAAAGAACTCTAAAGTACTTTTGCAAAATGGAGAATATATTTAAATTTTATTGAAATCAAAAACAGAACAGGCAATACATTGAAAATATCCCTAGAGGGAATGCATGATGTGGAAGATGGACATGAAATTGCTCAGAATGCAGCCCAAGAGACAACATAGAAAGGGAAACTCTGAATAAAAAGAGAGGAGACATGAACAGCAGAGTGACAAGGCACCATGAGTAGCTGGAGCTCTAGACAGAGGAAAAAAAGAAAGAAGAGACAATACTCAGAGATAATGACTAAGAACTTTCCAAAAGCAATGGAAGATGCCAATCCTCTAAGCCAATGAACTCTCTAAGGAATTGTAATAAAACTACAAAGGATCAAGAAATAAAAAGCAAAACAAAAAGGCAAAGGATACAGCCAGGTCACCTAGAAAGGAATAGTTATCACACTGAGAGCCGCATTTTTAACTCCCACCATGGAAGTCAGGCTAGGAAACTGCCTTTTTTCAACATAAAGATATTTTCAGTCAAACTATACAAGTGAAAAATCCATTTCTAACATAAAATTTAAGACTGTAACTTCAGCAAAAGCAAAATGGTACATTAGATACATTGAGATGTGGGAGAAAAAGGTAAGCAAAAATATTGATCAATATGTGGAAAACTCTTAATAAATGGTGATTATATAAAACCACAGTAGTGCCTAATCTGTGGAAAAGAAGCAAATATTACACTAGGTAACAGCTTTAAGGCAATAAGATGATTTTAAATTCAAATGTTCATAACTGTGCAACAGCAAAGGGAACAAACTTTCCAGTGAAATAAAAGAATTAGCCATGACACCAATTTTAGATTTTCAAATGTCTTTGGAAGTGAAATGATGTGTTATCCCGATAAAGTTCTATCACTCCTCTCTTTAAAAAATCAACCTTAAGGCAGGAACCAAAATGACAGTGGCCCGAGCAGACTTCCTTTATTTCTAAAGTTGTCTATCTACCACTGCATACCTAAAATGTACCAATAAAATTAATTAAAAAAAAGAATTAAGGGAAATTTGAAGGTGAAGAAATAAAAAAAGAATAAAGTTGTCTATCTACCAATAGCTTCCTTACTTACGGATTTTAAAATTGAGAGAAAAAAATGTGATTTGGAGCCAGACAAAGATTTTGCCATATAACCCCTTCCAATATATACTATTATTTATGTGCCAATTTAATGGGAGATAAGCCATTTAAATTCCAGTTAAGGGACGCTCATTTCTCTTAACTGAGACAGATTTTCCCAAGAAAAAATACCTGGACACCTTACACCAAATGTACATATGTGTTAATTTTTGTCTCTCTGTTTATTTGGTCAGGAACAGGAAGGGCTCCTGAGTGTGGTACTGGGTAGCACCACCATTTGTGGCTGACATTTGAAGCCCACAAATTCCATGCACAACCTGCTTTCTCCTCTCT